AAATATCAGACCATTTTCAATGACTTAAATTATAAAATAATATATTTGTCCAAATGTGTTAATTAATGAGAAAAAATTTTTGGCAAAGTTTAAATATGTACATTAAGGTGTTTCCAAACGCGCAAGAATAATTATTATATTTCGTATAAAAAGCATCAAATCTATACCATAAATTAATTAGCAACTTTTTGGTCGGAGTGAACAACCGAAGCATCAGAACATTTTTAATTACTTAAATTATAAAATAATATATTTGTCCAAATGAAGAAGAAATGGATATTTTCTTTATGCAATTTTGTTCTTTAAGGTGGGATGAAAATAAAATGTGTTCGCTTATACATATTTATTTTTGCTTTTATAGTACTATGCATAGTATCTCTTTAAGACCACGAATTATTTCTTGATTATATATATAAATTGGCGCTTACACATATGTTAGTGTCTGGCCGAGTTTCTCCTCCGAGCTTCGAGAACTCAATTTTTACCCGAATTTGGTTACCTAAATTACGATTTTGTCTTGATAAGAAATATATAATCTAAAAAATATTATGAAAAGCACGAAAATTTGGCCGATTACGTACATACTTAGGCAAAAAACTTGTCTGGCACTATATTTTTTTTTCTTCGCATGGAGGAGCCCGATCCGGTCTAATGTTTACTAAATCGACAGACTACTACAACTGCATTCAACAAATTAAAAATAATTAATTTGATGATTCAATTATTTACATTTTTACGGGCCTTAGCCAAATAACAATTTTTTCTTGATAAAAGAAAAAAACAAAAAATCTTGTTATAACTAAAAAAAAAGGTTATAAAAAGCGCGATCCGACAAGAGACCGATCCGGTCTAATGTCTACTAAATCGACACGCCTGCAACAAGGGTATTAAAAAATTAATTTGATGACTACTGCAGCAGCTTAGAATTTATTTACAATTTTTGTTATCTTATCGCAAAAAAAATATTAATTTGCAATATTTTCCACTATGTACTTGTGACGTTTGATTAAAATTATCATCATATCATATGTAAATTTCATTTATTCACCAAAATTTTTATTGCACTTACATAAATATTCAGTTATTTACATAATTACACATATTATGTGCGCTACGTTGCTTACATTCATGCTTCAGAGATAAAAATTATTTTCATATCTTATTTTATAAAGTTATTTATAATTCATTTCAAATGCACTAAGCTTCTTTATTTATTATGGCATGATAAAAACGTTTGAAAAACTACAGACAGTAAACTACGCACCTAGAAAAATATACATGCATTCGTATGTGCATATGTACACTAGGGTGGTCCAAAAAAAAGTAAAGTCCGAATATTAATTCTCTCACCCCCTAGGATTGTTCTATAGCGAAAAAAATGCACCCCTAATTTTTTATTTTGAAATCAAAATGTTCCATGTATTTTATATGGAAAAAACAGCTTATGGAAATGGAATAGAATTCTTGAACATCAATATTAATTGAATTCAGGAGAGCTCACCCAAAAATCATTAAACTTTTGCTAAGTTCAGAAATATTTCGATTTTTCCAGTAGAACTGTTCGGTCATAAAAAAATTTCAAAATTCCCTTGCAAAAATACTTTAGACCCAGGGGTGTATGACGAGTTTTTTATACCTTTCATGAGCATGAAATGGTATTATAACTTTGGTCCGATGTTTGTAAGTACCAGAACAAAAAGAGATAGACCCATGAAAATGTATACTTATATGATCAGAACGTCGAGCTGAGTTGATTTAGCCATGTCCGTCTGTCCGTCTGTCTGTCTGTTTGTATGCAATCTAGTCTCTCAGTTTTCGAGATATCCGGATCAAATTTGGTAGGTGGGTGTATTTTTATAATGTATTAATCATTTGTCGGAACCGGAAGAATCGGACCACTATAACATATAGCTCCCATACAACTGATTGTTCAGATATGAGATTTTTCGTTATAACTTCTCCATTTATGCAGCTAGGAACATGAAATTTTGCAGTACTTGCACCTATTATCAACAGAATACTTACAGTGGAAATTACAAAGATCGGGTCACTATAACCTATAGCTCCCATACAACTGATTGTTCAGATATGAGATTTTTCGTTATAACTTCTACATTTATGCAGCTACGAACATGATATTTTGCAGCACTTGCACCCATTATTAACAGAATGCTTACAGTGAAAATTACAAAGATCGGTTCACTATAACCTATAGCTCCCATACAACTGATTGTTCAGATATAAAATTTTTCGTTATAACTCCTCCATTTATATAGCTGGGAACAGGAAATTCCGCACTGTTTTCAATAATTATCAACAGAAAACTTACAGTGAAAATTAAAAAGATCGGATAACTATAACCTATAGCTCCCATACAACTGATTGTTCAGATATGAGATTTTTCGTTATAATTCATGCATTTATGCAGCTAGGAACATGAAACTTCGCACCATTTTCTCTCATTATTAACAGAATACTTACAGTGAAAATAACAAGGATCGGATGACTACAACATATATCTTCCATACATCTGATTGTTCAGATATGGGATTTTACTGTAAAACTCCTTTACTTGAACAGCTAAAACCGATAAATTTCGTAAGATATTTTATAAATAATAATACAAAGTCTACTGAGAAAATCGTCAAAATCTATGCTGTATAAGCTTTATCTCCTATAGCACTGATTGTTCAGATACCAGTTTTTGCGATATATCTCCTTTATGTAGGAAACTAAACCCAATAAATTGTGTCGGTTTACATACCGATCACATAGCAGTGAAAATCACTTAGATTGGTGCTAATATAAGGTATATCTTCCATACCTCTGTTTGTTCAGATGCGATTTTTTATATAGGTATGTAACTCCTCTATCGATGTATGCAGATGTACTCAAAAGCAGTAATCTGTCAAAGTAAAATTTGCAGATGTTCATGAAAGGTATGAAGCCTTCGGCATAGCCGAAGACAGCGCTGCTCTTACTTGTTTTCTTTTGCCTTGGGTATACTAAAACGTTTGGGAGCCTTGGAGGAAAGAACGCACTCGACGGAATATCTAAATAGTAATAAAGGGAATACGGGCTTAGCTCTTAAACTCACTCTACAAGACCCTAGTGGATCTAACTCCAGCATATTAGACACTTATGTGATCCAAAATTTATCAAATTTCCATAGTGTGCCAAATCATGGAAAAGACTGCAGATAAGCAAAACGATTCCCATCACGCTTTCATAAATTTCAAAGCCCACAAAGTGTTTAGGATCTCAGATCTATGTATGTTTGGGATCATCACAAGATTCTGAGGACTATATAAAATGATGCCCAGCATAGCCTTCAGCTCTGTCTAAAGCGGAAAGGATTTAGCCAAGTTGGCTAAATGGGTACGAAAACCCGGAATTGGGGTATACAACAACAACATATGTAGAAGGTTTAGAAATGAAGAAGAGACAGAATCCACTCAGAACTTCTTCTTTGATTGCATTGCTCTGCAAAGAGTGCATTAGGCACTACGTCGTTAAATGTTTGGGCAGTCTTGGGTTATCGCCTAGCTCGGGTTCCCCAAACGATAGGCTAAGGATGGTGAAAAAATAAATAGGCTAAGGATGGTGAAAAAAACAAATAGCAGATCTTTCTCCTACCACAATAAGCCTGGATGCCTGCAAGTTTGACAGAGCTACCCAGTGAACTTGAATTAATCTTGCACATATTTATCTATAATAATATCGTCTGCACTAACGACCAAATTAATATATCACAATATCGAAAAATATACCTAAAGTGTTATCTACAAAAGATCGATAAGTATATAGACTTCCGAAAACACCTTGGTGGTTGAATCTTGGATGCTGATACGTACATATATACATCCATACAAATTTTCAAAAACTTTAATATGTACTGTGAATTTTGTTCAACAGTTTTTTTTCCTTTGAATAGATTATGGGCATCCCCTAGTCATAAACTGCATGCGAATACTTACATACATACATATATAGCTAAGATTGGGGATCCCTCTCAGCTCATAACACCAACAGAAATGTATATGTACATACATACATACATATATCATACATCACGTAGAGCTGTGTAGCCTTAAGAAACGGTTTGCTGCATTGGCGGGGGTTTCACACACAATACAATAACAAAAGAAAAAACAAGAGCCGGCTTTTAAGGCATTTGAGCTACTGTTTCTTTTATTTCTGATAAGAAAAGTTATTGCTTATCAGCTGAGAATAAAAAATTAAAAAAAATACTACATCAGAGGAATCACATCTCCAAAAAGATTATGGGAATACCCTCATTGGTGATAAGACAGCGCGCCAGATAGAAACATACATAGAGCATGCAATATAAACTGCTGATGTACACAGCACAGGTATCACAACTCATTTAGCAAGCGAATAGCCAACAACGAATAAGATTATAATAAAATAATTGGAAGGAAATACAGTCGTAAAAGACTTTCATTAAAAAAAATGAAACTACAACTTTTCGCCATTTTGGCGGTTGCTATCA